TCATAAGTCTGCTGTTCCTCTGGGTCGATTGCTGGTGCTGCGTTTGTTTCCTTTGATGGTGTCATTTCTCTGTTCTTTTGTGATCTTTGTGTCTTTGCATTGATTCCTGTGCATTTGAGGAGACTGCTACCTCTCCTGGGTAATATAGGTGTTCTGTGGTGGTGTTAGACATTTACTAGTTAATATCAGAGCTTTGTCTCTGGTCAGTGGTTTTGGTTAATTCCAAAATTAGGGGAACTTCCTGTGGGGACCAGCACTTGAGCTCTGTGCTTGCACTAAATTGCTTCTTTGCTGCTGCTCATTTTCTGGGGAAGGCTTTTTTTGTGGACTGGATTTTAATTGTTGCCTTTTCAATCACTTCCAGATCTTGTGAGTTCAGATACACTTGGGCTATGTGGAAATTCTGGCCTGGGACTGAGTCTTCCCAGCAAACGGCGCCCCCTGCAATTCTATCACCCTGACCAGTCTCCACTGAGTGGGCCTGTGCTAGTTGGAAGGCAGATCAGCTGCCCACTCTGCACCCCAGTGTTCTCCCAGCCAGCCAGCATCCCTCCTGCACTCCAAATACTTCCTGTGGGGTGGGCTGTGCTCAGGTCCCTTGTGATGACTCACTGGCCTCTGTGGGTCTCCTTTCTTCATTCGGCTACAGCTCCATGCTCCTATGTGGGTCCACCAGAACCCTGACAGTGGTCTCACTGGACTGGGGTTGGTAGGGTGGGCTCTGAGGCCCTCTTCTCCCATGTAGACTCCAGGCAACTTCATGCAAAGGTCTGAGCTGTGGTTTTTGTTGGCTCCTATTTTGTGTGTTGAAGCTTCTTCCTGCCTCTCACAAGGCTGGCCCTGAAGCACCTGGGGCTTGAAACGGACTGAGTGGTTTCTTCTCACAGCTTCTCCCACCTTCACGAACCCTATAGGTCTCCCTCCTTTTCCCCCGTGCTCCAGTGGCCCCGGGTTGGCAGTCTTCGTTTTTTAATAGTTATAAATTGGTTGATTGTGAGGGAGAATGATGCTAGGGACTGTCTATTCTTCCATCCTGATGATGTCACTCCTGCTTTTCTAATCTTTTGGTAATTATCCCTGTGTATATGTTAATTTTGCAAATATAAAAGTTGAAATGGAGGTAGAATTTCTGGGTTTTCCTTTTTAAAATTTTGACAAATATTGCCAAATTGGTTCCAATACATGTGCCACTTAATACTATCATCAACTGTGTGTGAGAGTTCCTGCACCCCTACTCCCTCATTGAGAAGTGTGCTTTCGAATGTTTTTATCTTTACCGATCACCAATTTGGTATGTGGGAATTGCTGTCTGACTGTAGTATATTATGAGGGAGATTGACATATATGAGCTTGTCGAACTTTCTTTTCATGGAAAAATCCTTTGGCAACTTTTCTATTAGGACTATTAGTCTTTTTCTTTTTGATATATAGAAACTCTTTATGCATTATGCAAACTAGTTCTTTGTGAGATTAGGTGCATTACTTTTTTTCTTCATTTTTTGTATTTATTTTTTGCAGTGGAGAAATGTTTGACTTTATATATTTGGATTTAAAAAGCCATAAAAAGGAAACCTCGAATAATTCAGAAAACAATCATTTAAAGCATGGCATAAAACCCTACATCCAAACTTTGAGCAAATTTTGTTTGTTATACCTTCAAAGTATATACAGAATCCTACTGTCCTAATTCAAACCACTATTTTCTGTTGCCTGGACTGCTGCAAAAGCCAGGCAACTGGTCCCCCTTCTTTTATCTTGTCTCTCCTTCACCCAGTCTATTTTCCACATAGCTGCCAGAATGATCCTTCTAAAATGTAGAATAAATTATGTATTTCATGCTCAGAAACCTCCAATGGCTTATCTTAAAATAAAACCAAAGTTCTTACTCAGGCCTAGAAGGATGTGCATTATCTAATACCTGTTACTTCTCGGACTTCATCTTCTTCTACTCTTCATTCACTTTGCTACAGCATCACTTTGACTTCTTTGCTATTTATTGAACATGCCAAATACAATCCCTTCTCAGCTCCTTCGCTTTTACCATTACCACTGCTTGAAATACTTTTTCTACAGATATCCCATAACTTGCTTCCTCACTTTCTATTTAAATGTTGTCCTTTCTCCTCACCTTCCCCTTTATTAAACTTTCTCCTTCCCGTACTTTTCTTTTGAATCAGACATATCTATCAATTAATAATCTATTTTTTTCTCCCTGTGTGGGATAACACTGCCCAATAAAACTTTTTGTGTTGATGGAAATATTCCGTATCTGTGGTGTTCAGTACAGTAGCTACTAGCCACGTGGTGCTGTTAAGCACTTAAAATGTAGCTAATGTGACTGAGGTACTGAATTTTTAATTTTTTAAAATTTAAATTGCCACATGTGACTATTGGCTACTGTACTGTACAGTGCAGGTATAGAATGTCTGAGAGGGAACCTTGTTTTTGTTCATTAATGCAACCCAATACCTATGTGCCTGCTTTGTAGTAAATACTCTATAAGTCTGTTTTGAATGAATGAAAGAACAGATACCCATCAATCCTCTTCAGCCTTGAATCCTTGACTCTTGATCTGTAATTCCAGACTGAACACTTCTCAGTCATCTTCAGCTATCCCCAGACGTCTAGGTGTTTAGCAGTGATTGTTTATATCCAGGGGTCCTCTCCACAAAGTTCAGTTGTGCATCAAAGATACTGAATTACATAAATCTTATAAATTAGACCAGAGCATACTTGGCAATGTGAGTTGCTGATAAGGGAAAATGCAAGATACAGGGAAAGGTTTTCTCTATCACAGAACTCAAATTTGGGGAAAGTATTCAGTGAGTATATTCCTTCCTTTTGTGTTCTAGCCAGGAATCCACATAGTAAGTCATACTTTTCCCAAGGATAAAGAGCCCCAAGTCTGTCCCTTTTTCTCCTTTATTCTCCCAAATAAGAGCTCTTTCAACTTTTGAAAATTCTCTAAAGATAGGACTCATCATGAACTTTGAGGGACCATGAAATAAGCTGCTTCTGCTCGCTTTTTCTTATGTCAAACTCCTGATGAATGTTATCCTTATCAGAAGATTTTTTATATCTGAAAACCCATATGGCTATCCTCCATAATAATAATTATAGTTTCAAAGATGTGCTTAGCAATTAAGTAGCTTCTGAAATGTACTCATAAAACTTAAAAACAAAGTTAGATTTCGAAAGAAGGGATGAATAACACAAGTGTTGGATCATTTATTTGAAAACTGTATTCCGTGGAGCTCCTTCAGGAACTGCTACAACGATCAGAACTCCACTTGTGCTGCCTAACCCCAACTCTTTTTTAAAAAAAAATTATTTATTAATATTATTACTTATTTACATTCTAAGATGTTGCAAAGCAGTTGGGGGGAGGGGGAGAGAAAAAGGGGGAAAGAAATAGTGTGGGAGGAGGAGGCAGGAGCCGGGGCATGGTTGAAGCCCATGGCACCACCTTCATTTCAGCAGGGAGACCAGCGGGCTTCCAGTGGCAGCTTCGTCATTGCTGGGCTGGATGCAGATGTCTGGGGGGTGTGGCTGACGCCCTCAGTCCCCCACTGCCCTGGCTCAGAAGCCCAGGGTGTTTCCAGTGGTGGCCTGGTGGTCATCGCTGTGCTGGTTGTAGATGTTGGGAGGGCGTGGCTGACCCTCTTGTACCCCTAACACCCCAGCTCAGGATCCTGGAGTGTTTCCAGTGGCAGCTTGGTGGCCATCGCTGGGCTTGGTGCAGACATCAAGGGTGTGTGGCTGAGGCCCTCAGCCCCTGACCACCCCAGCTCAGGAGCCCAGGGTGCTTCCTGCGGCTGATTGGTGGTCATCGCTGGGCTGGTTGCAGGTGTCAGGGGGGCATGGCTGAGGTCCTCATCCCCCTATCACCCCGGCTGGGGAGCTTTGATGCTGATTCCCTGGGGAAGGCTTTTTGTGCAGCTCAGGTTTTAATTTTTGACCTTGTAAACACTTCTGGGTCTTGTGAGGTCCGGTACACCTGGCTTGTGTGGAAACTCTGGTCTGGTCGTGAGTCTTTTCAGCAAACTGCACCCTTTGCAATTCTATATTCTGGACCAGTCTCCACTGAATGGTCCTGCACTGATTGGAGGGCTGATCAGCTGTCCATGCTGTACCCCAATGTTCCCCCAGTGGGCCCATCTCCACCGCCTGTACTCCAAACACCTCCTATGGGATAGGCCTTGTGCCATTCCCTTGCAATGACTCACTGGCCTCTGAGTGGCTTCTTTTTACAGTTGTCTGTGGTTCCTTGCTTCTGTGTGAGTTGAGGAGAACGCTGTCAGTGGTCTTGCTGGCCTGGGGGCCACCAGGGCCCTCTTCTCCCCTGCCTTCTGCAAGCAATCTCCTACAAAGGGCATGGCAGCAGTTTTTTCCAGCTCTTGCTCCATGTACTCATCAGCTCCAGCCTTGAAGTGGCTGGGGCTCCAAATTCTTCCTTCATGGTGGCTTCTCCTGCCTTCATGAGCTCCATAGGTCCCTCCCTCCTTGTCCCTTAAGGTCTAGCAGCCCCAGCTTAGCTGTCTCACTTTTTAATAGTTGTACATTGGTTGATTTGTGGGAGAGAGTGATGCTGGGGACCACCTATTCAGCCATCCTGACCAGAAGCTCACCCAACACTTCTTCAATCTTTTCCTTTATATGTTTGTACTATTGGGAAAAAATATTTTATTTGACAAAGAGTTCAGCTTTGAAGAGTTTGAAAATCACTGCTTTTAGACTTTCTTCATGTATTGATTACCTCAGTGAGACTTTTGAAAGAAGCCAGATGGCAATGAGTTCAATGTCTAATTTTCTGATGAAAGGGTAATTAGTGTTGATAATTCAAGGGTAATGTATTTGGTTTGGATACTAAAAATGAAGCTAATGAGATTATCATTATTATGAAAAATTGATGAGTGGGACATGTATTCTTGTAAGGTTCCATGGGCAGGGAACCTTATCTAAATTAATCTAAATTAATCAAAGCTTATTTTTCTAATCAGCGGGAAAACAGAGATCCACAACAAGCTTTTCGATCATGGCTTAAAAAAAAGCATGAAGAACAGATGAAAGAAAGAAAGGCAGAAGAACTAAGAAAGCAAGAGGAATGCTTATTCTTCCTTATAGGAACAGAAGGCCGTGAAAGGGCCTTTAAACAGTAAGTTAAAGGCAGAGCATTTTCCCCCCTTCTTCACAGTCATTTTAGAAAGTTATATGATTATTAAAGCTTGAAAAAAACCCAAAATATTTTCTCTTATAGTATGTACCTGTTCAACTTTAAATCCATGCTTTAAAAAAATGTATAATTCTTTAACTCCATAATTTACATATTTATATAGTTCCTTCTTCAAGATACTTTTTAAAACTAAAATTATTTCCTATGGTACCAGTATGATAGCTTTTGATACTTACCATTTATTTATTCATTTATTGTTTATTTCTTATAGAAATGGGTCAAAGATTGGTTACAGCTTTTCCTGTATAGCCCTCAGAAAAACTGAACAAAGTTGCATTTACCAATATATTTTTTGTGTGTTAAGACATACAAGTGGGCTGAGAAGGAAAATTTGTATAGACCAAATGAAAAGGAGATCTGGGCACACATTTTGGTAATTTAAGGCAAAGCTGATCTCTTTTCAATTATCTGGTTAAGACTGCAGTACCTCGCTGATCCTGAGATTACAGACCTGTCTTCATAATTTTGCTAGCAAGCCTTAGGGAGAGTGAGGGAACAGAGTGAATATTGAGTCCAGTTGTTTGAAGTTCATTACTTTTTTCTTTTCTTTTTTGCCATCTCTTTCTTTTCTTTCTTTCTCTCTTCCTTTCTTTTCTCTTTCTCTGTGTCTCCCTCCATTTTTTTTACATGACCTTTTATTATAATAGAAACAGTAAATGGACATTGTGGAAATGGAGGGGTTTAAACTAAAATTTTAATCATCCAGAAATCATGATTGTTAGCACCAGAGTGCCTGCCTTCTAGATACGTTACAGATACTTACAATTAAAAAATATAAATTGAGATCATACTATATATACTGTTCTGCAGTGTTCTTATTTTCATTAATGAGCTCATCCAATATCCAGCCATATCTTTTTCCCCTACTGACCCGTAAATGACTTACAGTTAATTTGCTTAAATTAGCATCCAGTTCAGGAACATACATCAGGTAATAATACTTCTTACGTCTCTTTTTATTCTAACGCAGTTATTTAGTTGTTTAGGTTTGTTTCTGAAAAAAATACCTATATGTATATGTATAAACACAGACACCCCATATACACACTATTTACCAGATATACATGGGTACTTCAAAAAGATCATGGAAAGCTTTGTATTTTTTCCAAGAACTTTTTGAAGTACCTAGTATGTATGTATACAGTTATTTTTTATATTATTTTAACTAAGTGAGCTTTATAGACTTGAATTTTTTAGAATGGGGACTCTTCCTTTACCTCTTTTGATGCTTTCTTGCTGAGGCTTATTTCTCTATTTTAAGGAAGAACTATTTTCTGCACTGAAAAGCAAGAGCTTATAGTTTCCCTACCAAGAAGAGTAAGGCAGCATTTCTGCACCTAGTATTCTGAACCTGGCTAAGTAATGTTTTAAAACACAGCTAGTTGCAAAGAATAAGTTTTTTGGAAACTATCACATAGTTATTTACTTAAAAAACCATCTTAAAACAAACACAGGACCTACAGCACATGTAAAATGATTGTTTATTACTAAAAAGCCAATTAAGTTGACAATTTTATCGTAAGGCAAACTTACATTTGATCCCAAATGTAATTATGCTTTCTTGTATGAGTCTGGGGTATAAGTCTGAATTGTTTCAGTCAATACTTTAATAATTTGTTTTGTGACAGTATTTTATGTAAAGAAATGTTCATCCCCATACCAGCCAGCTGCCAATAAATAAATGAATGAATGAATGAATGAATGAATGAATGCATGCCCATTTCCTTTAATTATCTGTAGTAGTAACTTTATAACATGAGGAGCATATTCAGGTTGATACTCACCAAATCTGATCCTGCCTTTTTCTACAGATGGCTGAGAAGGAAACGGATAGAAAAAATAGAAGAGCAACAAGCTGTTAAAGAGAGAGCTAGACAGCTCCGACTGGAAGCAAAGCGTTCTAAACAGTTACAGAACCACCTTTGTATGTCAGAAGCCAAATCTTTTCGTTTTACCGATCATTATAACTGAAGGTATCTATTAAATACTTCATTTGGCAGCTGCAATCATTAAAATTTTTGATATCATTTCTTCTGCGTGCTTTGATCTTACTCTAAATTATGGAAATGGTATTTATGTTTTGGTGATGTTGACAGTAAATTTATGTTTTTTTTTTAACACTAGAATGAAATAAATTTCTTCTCTCATAGTATTGTAATGTGTTGTGCCATCTCTTAGTCTGTACAACAAATTGAACAAATGAACTCTGTGTTGTAATACACCTAAATTGTTTTATAACATTTCTAGCTAGAATGAACACAAGAAAGGGACAAATTTCTATTCATAGTTCCTATTACCACTTTAAAAAAATGCAACAGAACATTTCATAAGGCAGGAGTGACTTCTTAAGCCTGGTTCAAGACCTTATACAAAGTCCTCTTTATGTCAACTTTGAAACTGAATAGCTGTGGCGAGGTAAGCAAAAGGATAGGCCTAATTCCACCTGTTAGTACTTAAAAAAAAAAAAGTAACAATTATGCATAATCTTTGATACATGTAAGAACGTGTAAGGGATAGGGGACAAAGTAATAAAGTAAGCATGCAAATGTGATAGAAAATGAACAGTCACTGTAAGAATTCTGTTAAAGCTTCAAAAGACAAGGTTCTCATCAACTGGGTATTTGTACCTTAATCACTTGACCCTAAATTAGAAAACACATAGAACTCTTCAGTCCTATCTCAACTTCTTATAGCACTTTGAGCATATACCAGGCAATTTAATATCAGCCACCACCTCTATATCCAGTTCCAAAATATTTTTTCACCCCAAAAGAAAACCCCTTGCCTGTTAAGCAGTCACTCCCTAATCTCTTCTCCTCCGAGCCCCTGGCAAACACTATGTGCTTTTTCTGTCTCTAAGGATTTGCCTATTCTATTTCATATAAATGAAGTAATACAATATGACCTTTTACGTTTGGCTTCTTTAACTTAGCATAATATTTTGGAGTTTCATCCATATTGTAGCATGTATCAGTATTTCATTCTTTTTTATGGAATAAAGTAATATTTGTATATGTAACATGCATCTATATACATTTTGTTTATCCATTTGTCAGTTGATGGACATTTGGGCTGTTTCCAACTTTTGGTTATGGTGAATATTGCTGCTGTGAACATTGTGTACAACTATTTGAATACCTGTTTTCAGTTCTCTTGGGTATATATCTAATGGAATGGAGTTGCTCAGTAATATTGTAATTCTATGGTAAACTATTTGAGAAATTGCTTTCCACAGAGGTCATGCCGTTTTAGTCTGACCAACAATGCATGAAAGTTTCAATCTCTCCACATCCTTACCAACACTTATTTTTCTTATTATTTTTATTATGGCCATCTTAATGTGTGTAAAATACTGTCACGTTGTAGTTTTAATTTGCATCTTCCTAATAACTAATCTCATGTGTTTGTTGGCCACTTGTATGTCTTCTTTGGAGAAATGTCTATTCATGTTCTTTGTATATTTTTTTAGATTGGGTTGTCTTTTTGTTGTTGAGTTGTAAGAGTTCTTCTCTATATATTCTGAAGACTGGATCCTTATTAGATATATTATTTGTAAATATTCTCCCTTTCTGTATGTTGTCTTTTCACTTTCTTGCTAATGTCCTTTGATGTGCAAACACTTTTGATTTTGATGAAGTCTAATTAATCTATTTTTTTCTTTTGTTGGTCATTCTTTTGGTGTCATAGCTAAGAATTCATTGTTGAACTGAAAGTCATGAAGACTTATCCCTGCGTTTTCTTCTAAGAGTACTATAGTTTCTTGGCCGGCCCGGTGGCGCACTGGATAGTGCGCCGCTTGGGAAGCGCGGCGGCGCTCCCGTCCGAGGGTTCGGATCCCACATACAGACCGGCTCCCGCTCACTGGCTGAGCGAGGCGCGGGAGCAACGCCGAGGCTTGCGATCCCGTTGCCGGTCCCCGGTCCGGTACGGGGGCAACACTGAGGGTTGCGATCCATTGCCGGACACGGAAAAAAGAC